ACCCCCAACCAACACCAGCCACCTCCCCTAGCCCTTGCACCACCCCAGCCACCTCCCCCACTCCCCGGAAACTTCCCCCCACCCCCAACCAGCCCCACCATCGGGATCGTCGGATTCCGACGATCTCCCCCCACCCCTTGCCGCAACCTCCCCAACCACCAAAACCCCTTACGATCTAAACCCTAACCACCACACCAAACACCCTATTCGACCCTCCCAAACCAGCCCAACCCCTCCCCGAACCTCCCCACCGCCGCCCTGACCCTCCCCGACCCGTTTCCACCCCTCCCCACCCTAAACCCGACCCAAATTAGCCACCTTCCACCCAAATCCAACAACCCCCGGTTTTGTGGGTCGAGTTTCGTTGGTGGCTGGGGTTCTGGGTTGGTCGGGGTTTAGCCGTTTAGGATGGTTGGTGTTAGGGTTGGATTCTGGGGTGGTCGGTCGTTTAGGGTGGTTGGTGTTAGGGTGGTGAATTGGTGGTGGTGCCTTGGTGGGTTGTTGGAGAGAGGAGAGAGAAAGAGGAGTGAGAAGGGAAATTAAAGAGAATTTTTTAAAAAATAAAAATAAAAAAAAAAATAAAAAAATAAAATAAAAAACTTTTTTACCTGTTTAATAGGTTAAAGGTCAAATGGATCTGTAGGAGAAGGTGGGGTGCAATGGTTGGATTTTTGTGAGATTAATTAAAGGTTGGATTTTTTTTGTCAGACCTCGCAAATGTTGGAGTTTTAGATTCCATTTTTCCTATATATTAAATAATAATAATAATAAAATAATAATAATAATAATAATAATAATAATAATAATAATAATAATAATAATAATAATAATAATAATAATAATAATAATAATAATAAAACAAAAATGCATACTCCTCCAAATAAAAGAAATACAAAGAAGCCCTGAATTGACTAGTATCTAAAATCCTAATTATATGAAATAATAATTTTGGGCAATCAATCAATTAATAATATTCCGGACCAACTGACCAAGTATATCTTAGACAGAAATATGATAAATATAATACTTGAATAAAATTCATACTAATATAATGAACACATTTGATTAATAAGAAAAAACGGTATGCATGTTTATACAACATCTTACGCCGAAAATATTGAATCTCTATGTATCTATTGTATGATAAATTCCAAATAACATGCAACAGATCAATTGTATCGTGATAACCTTCCTTGTTTCATTCGCTACAATTGAAAAAGAGTAATCTCTAAGCTACTATATTATTAGTCTTGATCTAGTTTAACATATTAATGTTATAAAATGTGCATTTAAAACGTGAAATTCTCAACCCATGTTACGATTAGATTAAAAAAAATAACTCAGTAAGTGTTTTATTTATTTATTTATCTTAATTTTAACAGAATTCTATCATTATTTTAGGCATATAAATAATGATATTTTAACGAATAGTAAGGATAGAGAAAATATAATTGTTGTTTTAAAAAAAAAAAAAACAAATATAATTGTAATAAAGTTAATTGTTGTTTAAAAAAAAACAAAAAGAAAAAAAAAACAAATATAATTGTAATAAAGTTGAAATCAACTAAATGCAAAACTTATTAGATAGCATTTTTTTTCACAAGGTCCAAATGATCGACACAAAAGCCTTGTAATTCTAAAGTTTATTACAAAGATCATAATAAAATACAAAATAAACAGAACGCATTCTTCTCGCTCCAAATAAAAGAATTACAAAGAAATCTCCAATTCAAATAGATATACCACAGATAGAAATAAAATTCATACGTGTGCACAACATAAACTAATTAAGCAATGTGATTAATGAAAAATAACAGTATGTTTATACAACATCTTATGCCGAAAATATTGAATTTCTATGTATCTATTGTATGCTAAATTCCAAATTAGTTCTAATAACATTCGCTACAATTGAAAAACAGTAATCTCTAAGCTACAATTATATCTTCTCAAGAGCACTTAGAAGAAGTATTGGACAACCTTTGCGACGGCCTTAGAGCACAACTCCTTTATCTACGAGTCTTCGACAACCTTTGCGACAGTTCCTTTAACATAGCAGCGATGAATTACCGGAGGCCTTGATGATCAACTGCGTCTTCGTTCTTTGTGAGCACTTCTTTAAAGATTTAAGTCTTTTAAGTATGTTTGATTTATGATTAGAAACCAAGGGTTTGGTAATACTCTTTTGAGTTTGTGTTAGAATTTTTGAAGTTGGAGTTTTTAGGGTATTTGGATCTTGTGTAGAAGAAATCAAGGGTTTGGAATTTGTAAAGAAAGATGTAGGTAAATTCACAAATTTTGTAGCTCGTATAATATTTCCGGGCTCATCGAATGATGGATAAACAATGGTAACTTTGGCTAGCTTCATGGATTTCATTGTATCTAGTTTACTTTTACAAGTCGGAGGAAAAAAAATAAGATGTAGGAAAATAATGGAGTAAGGGAAAACTTAATGGAGGGTAAGAATAGAGATCAAAATAATATGATCAGTGTAATAATTTCTTACATACATTTATAATAACATTTAGGTTTATACGGAGTATCCTTTGGGGCCAAGTTACAATAAAGATATCAAAAAAAAAAAAAAGTTACAATAAAGATATTAGGTAATTTTTTTGAAGGAAAATTTATTATATTCTGTTTTAGGCAATAAACATAAAACTCTTATCTATGAAAAATAAAGCTAAAAAATTGGATAACTATACTAAACGGATAACTATATTTACTTTCTAATTACTAATGAAAATATTTTAATATAAACAAAGATATTAATAATTATATTATTTCAATATACACAAAGATATTGATAATGTTTATTAGGAATATCTTAGGTCGTTGAACCTTTTTAATAGTAGTACACTCTATTTCTATTACTACCTCTATTATTTAATATTTATTATTTACAATAAAAGAATTGTTTGTATCATAATTAATACTCTTTGTTGTAATAATAATAAGAAACGGACAGAGGTAGTGCTAAAAATACGTATTCCGCCAAGATAGAACATTATTAGATGAATGTTAGATTCTATTGGTAAGGTTTTAGCAACCCCTAAATAAAGAATCAACCCTTATTTTAATATAAAAAAGTCACATTTACATAAACAAAGAAAAAAAGTTCATGTATATATTTGCAAATTAATTAAAGTTGTTATCTTATGTGTACTTACTTATTACCCTTCTACAAAATATATCCCTTATAAAATATTTAATCAGTTTAATTAAAATCTTAAAGGTTTTAGTTACCCGAAAGCAATTATTCCTTTCGTTTGTTCGATATTAAATGTATCAGATTCATTATTAGTATAATTGTCGATGCGTATTTTTAACCATTAATATCTCTCAGACTATAAACTTACATAAGTTATTTTAAAAGATTGACATAGCGAAACATTGAGATCAATTTAAACATGACTTACAAACCTTTAATTTTATTTGTACCACGATATTCATAAAAAGAAATACAAAAGACATGTAAACTATTGAAAGTCAAACTATATAGCAACTAACTTAAAGTAAAAGTTACCCTCGGCAATGAACAACAAAACTATTGCTGCTATTATTATTTTTGCAACTACGAAATTTGACACTTCCATCTATGCAGTACCACGATATGGCTAGAAGCATTCATAAAAAATATTCCAATAATAATATGCATCAAAAGACCAACTCAAAATTTTATTAATTTCTTAAATAAACTCATGATTAATTGATTAATACTTAACATTGACGTACTTAAAAGCCATAATTTTAGACACCAGTTTTGATACTCCTAGCCTTAGCCATAGAAACCATAATTTTAGACACCACTTGTTCCAAATCATGTATTATTCTTTCAATCTTGTCCATATCTTCCTCCGTCTGCCTTGCATTCTCAACCGCTTTCGCAACTTCAACCACCAAATGCTCTTGACGATTAACACTATTGCACAATAATGAATACATGTAAATTATTTGTTTATCCGCTTCCTCTTTTTCGTCTTCAAGCCGTGTAACTTCTGCACTTAACCGCACGACTTCAGCCTCTAGTGCTCTCTCCCGCTCCCTCATGATGTTTTGAGATTAATTGATTCTATGAAATTGATGATTATTGGTAATGAGGCATGAATAAAGAGTGCGAGTTGGATATACTTATAGGGTTTTAAGAGGGTTAAAAAGAGTTGATCATTACAAATAAATATAGAATGTTTTTATAGATTCATTGCTTGATTGCTGACTATATAATAGGTTGTGATTAGTTGTATGATTGTATCAAATCTATGATGGTGGTAAATTGGTAATAGTGTCCTATTAATTTCCTTATTCAATTTCATTGTAATACGTGGTGTAATACGTGTATAATAATCCACTTTTTTTAGGTAATTAATCCAATATGTCAAGATTATTTTTACTATAACTATTACTCATAATTTTATTTTATTTTTGTTAAAAAAAAATTATGTTATGTTTGTCTAATCAGCTTCGATCATCGAAGTCAATGCAATCATCAAGCTTTAATTATGGAAAGGACATAGTATACAATAAGATAACATACAGTAAAATAAGTATTTTTTTTTTCTTTTTTACTCATTTGGATTGCTAAACCTAAGATTGGATCAATCCCCATTAAAGACAATTTGGAATAGGTATTTCTTTACCCTTACTCCTCACTTTCAATAAGGTTGTTTGCGTTTCAAGTCGGGTTAACCAGTAAGAGGCTCCGGTCAAATATTATAATTGTTAGGAGGAGAGGGGGATTTTAAGATAATTAAAAAGAGCAACAGTTACTGCGATATGAACTGAAATGGATTTAATAATCGTGTACGCATCATATATTGCATTGTGAGGAGAATACCTTTTACAAGGCAAGAGTTCAACAAATCATTGACAAGGTACAAAGAAAGGGTTGGCCATCGAATCTTGAAGATAGATTGCAACTGAACCGGTGAAACATCTGGCGGCAACTGCGCCACCAGCTGTATCACTGACCATTTTGAGCAACAAAGTTAAAATACAAAATCTAACACATATAAATTGGGACTAACATAAATACAGTGTCAAAATTATCCCACAGTATACAATTAATACAAATTTAGTAAAACTGATCATAGGGCAATATAAGCTTAATCAAAATTTGTATAACATAACTCATCAATTTCCTGACTGTCCAAAAAACTTCCCAGAAATGGTTGCCAAGACATTTAGCATTATGACCTCATCATCAATTTCAGCCTTTTCAGCCCGCAACTTAGCACAACTTCGAAGCAAACAGCGGAGAGATGCACAAGTATCAGCATCCAATGGAGTCTCAATTACTGCACACAGAGCAAAGAGCCATGCACAATCTTCCTTTGACAAATCACTTGCACTCTCAAACAAGCTTATGCGTCTTCTCAGCATTGTGACTCTAGTTATAGGGTCCATTGCTAAGACTGCAGATAATGTTGGAGCTCCTGATGTCAGCTTAAGTGACGCTAAATTAGGAGAGGTGTTACTCTTGAGTTTATGGTTAGCAAAAATAACTGATTCTGAGTCGGCAGAAACAGCATCACTGGTATTCTGAAGGCTTGATAGATCCTACAGCCAAGAAAATACAGGTCAAAGAACAATGATTGAACTCTAATGGAATTTAATATTTACTAGAAATCAATGGAAAATAAGAAAAATAAAATTACTTACCAGCCTCAACTTCGAAAAATCAGTAATGAACTCATCCACCCATGGCCTCTGTGGAACAAGTTGTGGAGGGCACTCCTTGATATCAGGAATATCGGGCATGTAAACACTCTGGTCCTTGACTTTGATATCAAGCTTGGCTATCTTAACTTTTGGAATATGCTTAGCTTCCCACCTATGAGAAAACACAATGTAATCTCAGTACAAAACAGTCAAGTTGTTACTAGTGCCCCCTGAACCTACTAAAACATTTACAAGCTTTCTAATCAAGAATTATCAATTTTCTTCTACTTTTCATCTTGATTGTTAAGAGCTTCTAGGCTGCAGGAGCATAGCAAAGGGAAAATACTTTTCAAAGCTAGATCAAATGTTATGCTATTTGTCTTTCAAGTGGCACGTATATGTATTTCTGACAAGAAAAAAAAAAACGCAGTTATTTTTTGTTTTAGCAGCTTTCTTCTTGCATATGAAAACCTTGACTGTGTTTTGATAAATTTTATGCGGTCAAATTGTAAATAGCATGGTTTTGGTACTTAATGAGAGTCTTATTATTGCCCAAAAGAGGTATTTGTGCACCTTTCTCCCACTCCTACTTCAAATAACTTGTCTAAAAGGCAATACAGTATCACAGATACACAAGAGTGAAAAAAAATTATATCCAAACCAAACAGATCAAATCTCTGCTTCTTGCTTTCGACTTCTAAGATAAAGAAATTGGCTTATTTCACTAAACAGATCATATGTCAAATGTGAAAAGAAAAAAAAAAAAAAAAAAAAAAAAAAAAAAAAAAAAAAAACTGCCAATGTAATTTCTGAAGTTTAAATGCCCTAAGACGTGATGAGAAGGGTTCTTTGGCCACTGATAACTGAAAGTAGGAGCACATCACCCACAAGTGATTAGAATGTAACCCAATATGTCTACTTTTCAGATTAGACTGTTGCTTGTTTCAAGAGAAGAACAAACCAAAAGGGTTTATTACGCAAAGGCAATCCTGTGAACTGAACTAAACTGAACCTGAACCTCGTTTCCTATTCTTATATACTCCATAATTCAGAATACGTCATAACAGCAAACAATAGATATTGATAAAGCACTAACATGTCTAGAAGTAACTATAAGTAACTGAAACATTAAAACGCTACTTAAGATGTGGTATGCCCGACTCATGGTCATTCTTAAAGCAAACTCATAATAATATGTCAAACTTGGAGAATATACTCCAAGAAAAATATATCTCTACAAATGAAAACAGGGAGACTAAAGGTGGATAGTTCTTTCCAGCAGTATCAGAATAATTACAACCTAGTGTGACCTTAACAGGAGCATGCTTCACATCTATTACTAGTATACTAGTCAAACGCTCAATTTGGATTTTGGCTGGAATCTACAGAAACGTAGTACACTTTTGATATAAGCAAAGCCTCACTTTTTCATTGCTACTATAGGAGTATGAATTGGGGCACATGTACTTAGTAAGTGCAGGTTTTCTTATGGCTGGAATCTGCAGAAAGGTAGTAAACTCCAACATAAGGCATGCCACACTTTCTGTAAAACGTAAATTGACAATGTGTTACCAACTCACCAGCATTTTCTTTTAAGAAAGTCAGCACAATTGTTTTAAAGTGAACAAACTTACAGAATTCAGAATCTTTGCAATTTGCATTTCAATGAGATACTTCCATTAGTTAATTTTGAATTTTTTCAAAAAGTACTAGAGGTCTCATACTTAGGGGTTTCATACTTGAAAAATGATGTATTGACCAAAAAGTAAATGTATAAATGAACCATCTCCCAAAACGGAGATGTTAAACTGCATAATTCTTCTCCTGTTTTTTTCTTCTCCACCCCTTTCCCCACCCTTAATCTTACTTGCTTCACCTTTCATTATGACTGCAGTTAAAGCAGCTTCATCAACGCCTAAAAACATCTCATAATCCCCCTTATTCTCCCTAAGTCTTAAATATCTACTTTTCATCATATACTTTCATTCCTGGTTTATGTTTTGTGATTTAAATATCTTTCTATTACTCTGTTTTCAGATTATATTTCTGCCACTGAAAGACTAATATGAATAATTAGAGCACTGCAAGTCTACAATATACAAATGATTTTAGGGGGAAAAGGAGGGACAAGTGAAAATGAGCAAAAGAGAACTTTCTCTATCTTATCAGAGAGACGGACGGGAAAAAAAAAGCATACATTCATGATACATGCATAAATAGCCATGAAGGTGATCAGTAACCAAAAAAAAAGTGGTTCCTGATAATAAAGCCAGGGACATGTTGTTTACTATTGACAAAAGATACTTGTTTCAGAATTAAGGCATTTTTTTATGAAATACAGCTTTTGTACTCATTTGATTTGGAAATGACACAATTGACAAAAGATACTTATCAGAATTGTAATTTTATTAATATTTTTATTTACAAAGAATACAGCAGAGTTTTCCGCTAAGATGCTAATGGGATTAAATTGCCAAGTTCATCAAATTAAATGCTCTACATCGAATTCACCACCTTATGGTGCATTATTCAGGCAGCCAAAATTGCAAGTCATGTAAAAGCTCCGAAGGTCAAAGTCTTGGAGGAAATAATAAATCTTTTATGCCCCAAAAATAACAAGATTGATTTAGAATATCAAACAGAACTTCCAGTCCCAAATTCCCAATGAACAAGAATAGAGACAGCATGCAATTATTTTAGAACTAAGAAAGTACCTGCAAATAACTTACGAAATAGCAGGGGTTTGCCCAATAAAGAGTGCTTATTGATATTAAAATTGATGAATAGGTCGTCATCAAAAAAAAAATAAAATAAAATAAAATAAAATAAAAGAAGCAAGGAAACTTAAAAGAATGTAGTATACCTGACACGTCTCAGGTATTCTAATCCATCTTCAGGTGGCCCAGATTCAAAATCTGGTTCACCTTCAACCTTAAAAGCAGGTCTATGAATGCCCTCAAATTCATCATCACTCTCTTCATCTTCACTCCAATCCCCTACCAAATCATCACCATCCTTGCCACTATGGTCCCCCTCACAAGTACAATTTGCAGAACTAATAATTTCTGCATCACAACTTGCATTTCCTGAACACGATTCTCCTGAAAGACATCATAGAGCTTAGCAAATCTAAACTGTCAAGGGAATTGACATCCTATGGTTGCAATAGAGAAAGATATGGGAGTGAAGTAACAAGTCTGCAATCATTCAACAGCCAAAGCACTCATACAGATGAAAATCAAAGCAAAATTCACTATCAGATATTATTCACATATAGCACCATGCTACTCGCAATCAAGTTCTATACAAATTGAGCAAGCGGTCATCTACAACACTAATACACTATCGCACATAGGACACTATATACCAGCGGTATTCACAACTCGAACTAGACACTATCAACTTGGACTAGTAATCAGGCATCAAGATCAAATGTCAATTGATCAGGCCTAAGCAGTTAGTAGCTATCTTCTTTCTTCTGTAGATAAACATGTTTGGATTATAGCATCTTCCCATTGCAGCAGCCATACCTGTGACAAAAGAAATCGATCTATCAAATTGACACAACCAACAAAAGAAGATAACTCAAACAACAAAAGGCATAATGACCCCACCCACTTTCTGATAAAACAGAACTACGCTGCATGAAGTGCCAAAGAACGTGAAGTGTGAGAGAAAAGCTTGATGATGAATGAGGAATAAAAGTTGAAGTACACTGAAGCATGTCTCAAGATTCAATTAAGACCATGCAGAGACAATGGTTGAGGAAAACACAAGGAAGAACAACGGAAAAAACCTCTTTTAACTTGCTGGAACTAGAATCTTTATGACTGTGTTTTCCTCCTCCCGCGAACACAAAACAAAGCCTAACGATATGATACAAGAAGAGAAAGGCAGGCTACAAAGCAGAAACAGACAGAAATAGCAGAATCGAAGCTGTGTGCATCTTTATCTCCCAACATAATTAAAACAATTTAATGAAAACCTCCAGAAAATTTCAAATAAATACTACTTGCTCAATCCTATCCAAGTCATGTTAGAAGTCTTAGAACAGAAGGGACAACAAGTTAATGTTAGTTGATGATTATTCTCATTGACCAATCAAAGAGCCCTCCCAAAATCAATTGTACAGGCCAGTAGGGAAGACAAGATAAGGAAAGGATTAAGAGGCAAACAACAATGGCAATAGTGAATTTTGTAGTAGGTAAAATTTTCTGGAAACTCGATGAACATATCAGACAGTTACAGAGCACTATGACGTTTTGCAAATAAAGTTTCAGATAAGCTACCCCGGTACCTCGACAGTTTTTCTACCATGCATATACACATCAGCAAGGCTTGAGTATACATCTGTAGTATAGCCTAGAAACATCAAGTAACCAAGGAAAAACTAACATTGGATAATAATATAATCAGGCAAACATCAATCAAGAGCACAGACCAAAATCGTTTCCCTCTTATTGGGGATGACAGCCAGAGAAAAGATTCTATCACCTCTAAACCACAACAAAGTTGTATTTTTGCATGAACCCAAACAAATCATACTTTCCACAGGCCAGCAGTGCAAAAATCACACAAATCATTCAAGATTATCAAGAAACAATTCAACAATTACTTCAAGACTGAAATGTACAAAGTAACAGAAAATAATCCAAATTTCCAACATAAAGCCAACAAAAAATGTTCAACAAACCATGGAAATAACTCAAATCAAGGACAGAATTCGTAGAACAAAGAGGGAAACCAGAACATACCCAAAAATCCTTGGTTTTTGAAAGTAGGAACATGTGAGCAAGAAGTACCCAGAAATCCTCCATTGTTAAAGTTCTTCCTACCACCACCAGTCTGTTGATTCTTAAAACTACCCAATTCATCATACTCCTTCTTCACAACAGCAGAAAATCCATTGTAAATTTCAAACCAAAACTTCTTCTGACCTTTAACATTCACATATCTCATCACCTCCATATCTTTCCTTGAGTACATACACTTTCTCTTTTCTCCATTCAAATCAGCAGCTACAAAACCAGTGTTGGTTCTTGCATTACTCTTCTTCCCCTTCCTTCGATTTCGCTTCGCTTCAGCCATTGTTACATCATCAACGAATGGAGCACCAACCCCAAGAAGCAAAGTTCCGTCAATCAACTCAATCTTCAATGAACTTGTTGAATCTTCACCCTTTACCAATTTCTGCAAAATCCCATTAAAATTCTCCCCCTTTTTTGCAGATTCCAATTGCACAACCTCACTTACAGCTTCAACAGATTGATTTTCCGAGGAATATTCATCTTTAACTCCAACAAATTCATCAGAACCCTCATCAATTTCCCCCAAATCAGATTGAGGAAGTTCATCCTTTCCATCAAGATTCAACAGTTCCTTGGAATTAACACCTGATTGTTCAATTTCAGCAAAATTCCCAGAATCTTGGAGAGATTCATCAGTCATAACACCGTCTTCAGAAAGAGAGAGCTTCGCCTTTTTTGGGGATTGTTCTGGGGAAGAATCAGTTTTCTGGGTTTCAGCAATACCCACTTCAAGAATTGAGGGTTTGGCTTCCAAAGATGAAGGAAGAGAGAGAGTAGGAACTGGGTGTAACGAATTGAGGGGTTCGTGGTCTGAAGGAGGAGAGACCATATCAGTGATTCTTCGTTTGTGGGAATGAGGAGAGGTTTCAGGTGATGTGAATGGTGATTCTTCCGCCATTGTTACACTGCTCAGAATCAAAGAACAAGGAGAGAAGGAGAGAGGAAATTGGAGGTTCACAATATTACAGAAAGAAAGCAGAAATTGAAAATTTAAAAATTGATTGAAGATTGAAGAATGAAGGGGAAGGAAATGAGAATTAAGGAGGGTTTTATAAAAGGGGTTTTTGAGACGGTTGATAACCGAACGGACAAATGACTGAATGTCGAGCTGTTTGAGTCAAGGTTTTGTGGTTTGAGCCTTGGAGGCTTGGAGCTTCGAGTGAAAGCTGGCATTCGATCGGGCTGGCCGGCTAAATTTGGTCGTGACTCGTAAGTTCGTGACACAAAATGAGCACGAACAAAAGCATAGTACGATATGGTTATATAATTGGAATTTATACCATGGCGTTTTTGTAAATAGTTTGGAGCAAGTCCCTATTAATATCCTATTTTAACAAGTTTTGTTAATACAATGGCAGTTTTGAAAATATTAGTCTCGAAATTCGCATATTATTCTTTACACGTTAAACTCCATCTGCTAACTTATACTAACGGAGAAGACCCACCTTCTCTATTTGACAATGGAGGAACGAAAGAGAAGACAGACCTTTCACAAGCATTCTCTCGCCTATGTGTTATTAACTTCCACCATCAAGCCCACTAGCCTCACCCGCCCCACACTCAAACAACAAGGTGATAGTTTCAACAAGGTGCCATCGAATTAAAAGAATAACCTAAGAAGAAAAATTAAGAGTATGGCTAACCCCAAAAATAGGTATTTTACTTCCCTCCTGTTTTCTTCATTAAAGATGAGTTTTTCCTTCTTCTCCATACAAGATGAGTAAAGATGAGTTTTGTTACATAGAGTTCTTTCTCCATTAAGGTTTCTTAAGAGACGGAGTTGCAGGAATTGATGGCAGCCACCAAAGTTAATTAACTTCGTCTCATAGTTGTTCCACTATTAACTTGTATTTTCTCGATAGTTTAAATTTAATTTAGCCTATATATTTTCATATACTCTCAAAGTATGGTTGTTTCATATTATCATATATATACTTATCATACCATCAAATAAGTCGGGTTCATTGGATGGTCTAATTATATTATAGAACCTTTTTCTATGTCATTTTATGTTGTCTTTCACACTTTTCTTTCTCTCGTTTCTACATATGTCAGTTTTTGTCTATTTTTTTCCTGGGCCAATACATGGTCTGTCACAAAAGGAGAGATTTCACGGCACAATATTATGCAACCAAGATTATAGTATTAGGTTTGAGCACATTTTAATTTGGAAAAATACGTCATAATATAACATAACAAAGCACGCCAAAATAAATGAAAAACAAATTTGACTGAGGCATACAAGTATGACATGTTGGCTTGGGTTATCCATTAAAAGTTTTTGCAAGTTACAACACATTGCAAGAGGGATGGATCATGGGTTGCGCCTAGGCGCCTAGCCAACCATGGTGACCTGGTCTTAATCATAATATAGACTATAAACTAAAATGACTAATAGTCTAATACTAAATCCACATTTCTCTTACTTCTTATTAACTAAAATGACTTGGTGTTAATCATAATATAGACTATAAACTAAAGTGATCTGACTACTCTGTACATCTGATCCCCTCTCTTAGGCTATGTTTAATTTACCTTCCTTTTGTTTATCTAATATGATTTAATATTTTTTTTTATTAAATCTAATTGGCGAAAGTACTAAAATACATTAAAATCCATACACATTTTTTTTTAGAAGTAATCAAAATTTGACAAAATCTACCCGCTAACTTTGGAACGATACTATTTTTAACGTTTGAAAAAAGCTACTCAAACACTACCTCTGTGTAATCCCCCGCATTTTAAAATATTTTATAAATGAAAATTTATTTTATTTATAATATTTATTTGTTATTTTTCATAATTTAATTTCAAAAGTTTCAAATTATTAATCTGGGTCGAAAATTATTCGAACAAATTATTTTATGCACCTTTATTCTACAATTTATGTCCAATCACACAAGCCTAACCCATTTGTTACCTTAATCGACCCATTATTTTTATGAGGCTCAATCTTCCTATTTACCCTACAATTCTCTCCTATAAATACCCAATGAATCTCCAAAAAATTTCCCACACAAAGAGGTTAGTCTTATTTTCTTTCTCCTTAGTTTTATTAATTTGTGTAATTATAATTATTGATTTATGGGTTTTGATTTTATTATTTAAAATTAATTTGATTAGTATCAAATTGTATTTTGATGATTAAACTTTATAATTTCAGATTTTATAAGTGTCATAATTTTCAGATTTTGTAAATTTTATAATCTAGGGTTTTTAATTATTGAAAATCATGATTTTAGGGGTTTTATGAACAATTGATTTAGGGCTTTTATAGTAATGATGTTTTGAAATTTTGGTGATTATAACTAATGACTATTTTAAATCAATTCCAGATTATTTTGAACACTAAATTCGGGTTTTAATTTTTAGATTTCCGTTCATTAATATTAATCCCGTTTTAATCCCGATCAGGTTCTGAACTCATCCGATTTTGACAAAAAAGTAGCGTTTTCCATGTGGAAACAACGTTTTAAGAAAGAATCACCACCTTTGGTAGTGTGCACCACCCTCTCGTGGCCAAATTCAGCCTCTAAATATGATTTTCGGGCAGTTTTTGATTTTAACGAAGTTTTTTTTATACTTAAAATATTATCCTTGAGTTTGATTGATAAAATTAATTATGTTTAAAGTTAATTAAGCATAAATATATGTTTTAAGTGCTGGAAATAGTTTCTAAGTATTACTTTTGATGTTTTATAAAGAGGGTTTAATCACCCATTAAAAGGGATATTATTAGGAGTTTTTAAATAATTTTAAGATTTTTATTAAACTTTAAACTTGCTGTAATTTCACGTATAAGAGTGTATTTTAAGGTTTTTATGATGAAAATTTAAAGAACTATATATAAGCCTTTAATTTTAACTAAAAGAAAGGTTTTAAAGTGTTGTTTGATTTGGATTTTGAAGGTTTTAAAGTAAGTTAGTATTGCTGTAATTTTGATTGATTGGGTATTGATTGAGATGTTATTATTTGGTTTAGGAGAGGAGTTTATTGAAGGTGATTTCTAGTTAGTAAAGTGACATACATATTCGTTTGCTCAAGGTATGTACAAGTTACGAAACCTTTCTTTTAGGTGCATGTTTAAGGACGGATCGAGAACTTAGTATCATGTATAAGGATGACTGGGTTAACTTGTTTGGTTATACATTGTGAATTTCAAATGATGTGCACTATTTTATATTGCAAGTATTATTTGTGCTCTAATTATACAAGGTGTGCTTAGAGGCAAAGGTATGTGATTGGTGTAAAGATTAATTTATTACTCATTCATGATCATGCAAACAGGATGAGTAAAGGAAGAATTCAAGTCTTATAAGACGAGGTTAAGGTTTTGGGGTGCCTTATGCACTCAAGGTGTTTATACACCGATGTAGTAAAGGAATAAATAATAAATGTTGTTTGTCACTAATAAATCAAGAATCTAAATTGAGAATTTGCCATGTTTGATTGAATTGTTTTTGGGATGTTTGTATTGAAATGTATATAAGTCACCACCAAGTCTAAACCTGTAAATCACGTAAAATGCAAGATGGATGAGCAATAAAACTCTAGAATGGTGCACATCTGGAGTAATGACAATCAGGGGGGTTGGGGTACATGGGGTTTTAGCCGTGTACTTTTATCAAGGTCGTCTGATCTACGAGTCTCCTATTTCAAATATTATTTTTCTAAAACTAGGAGTTAGGTGAGATCTCATACTAACTACGGTCATAGAGTCGCGCCCGTGATCGTTGGATGTTTATTGATGTTTCCGAAAGGAGGCATGGGGTTTTTCTTTTATTGATGTTCCAATGGGACATGGGTTGGACAACCTTGTCTATTGCTAAATCCAATGAATTAAATAAATGAGTTAGTTAATATTAATTAGTGAGGTCTTAATAAATTTAATAATCGAGTCATGAATTGAGTCTGTATTTAATGATGCTTGTGCTTGATTATTAGTAGCATGTTAGGTATTTTCTTAATTTATTTCGCAGCTTGTATGTACTCAGCTTTGCTGACTGCGTGCTTTTGTGTGTGTCTTTCTTTGGTCATGACCTTCGCCTTTCAATGACCCTGTGACGATCCAATTTTTACACTTGTAATATTGGGTAGCAGAATAACCACAGATTCATACACATGCAGCATTCATCAGGGTTGTGGGATCTTGAGTAGAGAGTTGGTTGTTTGCATTTTATTTCTTTTGCAAGTTTGAATTTATTTTAATTCGATTTTATTTGACACTAATTCTTTTGGGTTTGAATTTATTTGAACACTAAATTTAATCACTTACTATTTTTATTGGGTTTTGAATAAGTGCCTTAATGGTTCCAAGTTGTATGGTTTTAAAACTTATTTATATCTCAGTTGGTTTTTCCGCTGCTATTTTCTGATAAAGCCTTAACGTTTGAACACGTGGCGGTAGCACGCCAGCAATTCACTTGGATTTTGTTCAGGGTATTCACAGATTTTCAAGAGAGAATTATTGGGGTATTACACTATGTCACTAACCGCTATCTGAACCATTACCCAAATACTACATTGCTTCCTCTACTAACCGCTTTTTAAACTACTACTTAGCTAAATGATTAAACCGCTAATCAGTACCTTAAAAGCTATTGCCGAAGGTCCAAAAAGGTTCTTAAAACCAACCCGAAACATCCCACCAACCAAAACACCCTCATATCACCGTTGTGATTGTGAAATTGGGTAAAAAAAAAATTTCACTTACTAACCAGCTATCTCCGATTTCAAAATTCAAAATCGTCTTCAAAAATTGGCATACTTTCTCTTTTATTATTGTATACTCCACTACAAACTGTTCATCATACCTCCATTCTTCATTTCTTCTCTTCTCCGGCAATCATACTATACTCTACCATTGATTCAAACGTCGAGGAGAGAGAAAATTTTCTGGGGTTTCTCTCTTCTCAACAATGGTGTTGTTGGCCGCAAGCGGCGGCGACACCGTTAAACTTTTCGATGTTTCCGTTGAGTCCGGCGATCCTTGTTTACTGAGTTATACTCCATCGCCTGGTTTTCAAGTTAACTCCGTCAAATGGAATCATACCAGTTAATTGTTATTTTCCCTTTTTTTGGGTTTTTTTTTTTTTTTTTTTTTTTGGGTTTTTGAATGTTTGATTTGATTTTGATTTCTGGGTTTGTGCAGATTTGGTGGTTGCGAGTGCTGGAGATGATAAGAAGATTACATTGTGGCGTAAAAATGGACAGAGTATGGGGACTATTCCTATTTTAGGGTCTGAATCTGGGGACAATATTGAGGTGATTTTGTTAATTTTTTTTGTTTTGATTTAAGTGGGTTTGTTTTTGATTTTGGAATTTTGATTGCTGAGTTTTTTTTTTTTTTTATTTAAATGGACAATACTGAATTAATTGTTCTTGTTGATTTTTAGAATTTTGTGTTGAAGAGGAAAAGAGTAGGAAATGAGGGTAGTTGGGTAGCCATTGTGGGAGTATCTTTTGTTATATTTGATTTCCTGGGCTCATCTAGAGTTAGGTGTAATCAGGAACATCTAAGAATTTGTGCGAGTTTTTGTTTCGGGGAGGTTTTAAGTATAGTTTTGGGTTGAAAGGAACAAGAGTTGGAAATGAGGGTAATTATGTCACCATTGTAGGAGTATCTTTTGTTGTATTTGATTTTTAGAGTATATCTAGAGTTAGGGGTAACCGGGAACATTTAAGAATTTGTACGAGTTTTTGTTTGGGGGATTGTTATGTGTAGTTTTGGGTTGAAGGGAACAAGAGTTGGAAATGAGGGTAATTATGTCACCATTGTAGGAGTATCTTGTGTTGTATTTGATTTTTAGAGTATATCTAGACTTCTAGAGTTAGGTGTAACCGGGAACATTTATTTGTACGAGTTTTTGTTTGGGGGGATTGTTATGTGTAGTTTTGGGTTGAAGGGGACAAGAGTTGGAAATGAGGGTAATTGTTTAACATTTGTTGGAGTGGATAGTTTTGGTTTTCTTTTTGTTTTGTTTGTATTCAATGTAAGACCGGCATACGTTGATATTACCTTTGGGTCACTTGTACCTGACCTTAGAATGGCCTGTTGTTTGAGGATTAGACGAAGAAGTTGGAAACCAAAATAAAAAGAGTTAAGACTTTAGAACAAAACTACTAGATGAGGAAATAGTTGAAATAAAAAGTTTTAATTGTGACATTTCTCAATTTAGATGGCTAGGTGTGAAAGTTTGGATTAAAGGGAATTTTTTAGAGTATTGAGGTCTGACAAGGGAAGGTGAACAGGTGATGAATAAGGTGTTGGACTGGTGGTGCTTAAAGAAGGCAATAGTGGTGGGAGAATCATTACTCTTGTTACTTCGCTAGGGTTGAACTATTCTATTACTGTAGGGGAGTAATGAACCGTTAATCACTGTTTGATGTTTGATTATGGAACTATGGAACTTAACTAAAGTTGTCGGTGATTTAGGTGCTACTTGCTAGTGAATTCAGTTAATTGTTATCTCGTATACTTCCTCCATTCCCCTAATATTGTAACACTTACCATTTTAGGAAGTCTCACAAATATTGCAACATTACCATATATGCACATGCTTTCTCTCTATCTCTCTCCTAATCTCGTGGGTCCTTATCTTAATTCTCTCTATCTCTCTCCTCATCTTAAATTTCGTGTCTTCCCCCCTTGTTGCAATATTAGGGGATTGTAGGAAATATATATAATGGTACCAAACAGGCTTGGTTAAATTGAAGTTTGGTTCAGTGTTAACCTTTGTATTTATATTTCAGAGAAATTATTTTAGGTAGAGTGATGCTAACAGCTTGGGAAAAAGGTTAATAATTCAGAGAAGTCTTTTTTGGTTTATGAAAAGCTATGTATGTCTCTATGGTGCCGAGTTCATAAGTTAGAATTCAAGCTCTCAATCTTGCATATTGTTGTTATTGTATTGGCATAAGTTAGAATTTTCTATGAAAATATGATGTTTAGCACTCCTTACATCCCATGAGGACCACTATTATTGATTCATCACAGATGTTATGTATTTGTAATGGCTGCATGTTATAAAACCAGCACCGTGTTTGTATTGTGGAATTGTAAACAGATCTTAGGGGGAATGCAAAAATAGATTTGAGAATTCATAAAGATGAAGGATGTAGAATTCAGACAAATAATTGATATGATTCTATATGTGCTTCTCTTTTGATGATGTTGTAAAATAAGATGGAATATCCATGTGCCAAACATTTTTTTTTATCATTTGATCAATTTTACAACCAGTAGGCCTAATGCCAACTAAAGGCTAGCTTGAAGTTATTTATCAAACAAGTCAAGGGTGGTAAAGCTATGGGATAAATGCATATTACTCCTTTTGTCGTCTTCTTAATTGTTTGATCAATCAATTTTACTACTAATATGCCTAAAGCCAACTAAAGGTTGGCTTGAATGTATTCATCAAACAAGTCAAGGACGGTGAAGCTTTGGGATAACGGCGTGTTACTCTTTTTGTTGTCTTTCATTTAAAAATTATTTGAAGGTTTTGTGTGGTAAATGCTGCTTTTTTTCTCTCATATTTCCATGTATTGAATATTAGCTGCACCAGTTTTAAATATTGGTGTGTTAAAGTATGTTCTTGCTTTTAATGTTTTACGGATGGGTTCCAATTCAGGAGCTTTTTCATGATAATTTATCTGACTGCAAGTTGGCTTTTGTTCAAAATGAAACTGAGTACGCTCTTTATAAGAAATTCAAGCGGATTGTATATATGAATTTTTTTTACGATAAACTGGATTCCTGGATCTGATTCTCTTTTGTGGTGTTCCTGACAACATTATGACTAGTCTGTGAGAGTTATTTTAAGCCTTTGTGTGTGTGTGTGTGTGTGTGTGTGTGTGTGTTGGGGGGGGGGGGGGGATGCACCTGCGTGCATGCGCTTCTAATTTTGAAGGTGGTTTTCTACTCTGTTTCTTTGATTTTTATCTGAAAATTTTCTGATGTATTACAGGAGGCTATATCATCCATTAGCTTCAGTAACAAATCCTCTAGATACTTGTGTTCCGGGGGAAGTGGTCAAGTTGTTAGAATATGGGATCTACAGAGAAAGCGTTGTATCAAATGGTTGAAAGGTCATACTGGCTCAATATCAAGTGCTATGTATAATTGCAAAGATGAACACTTGGCTTCCATCAGTACAAACGGGGATCTTTTGGTCCACAACCTTGCCTCTGGATCTAGAGCTGCTGAACTGAAGGATCCTCACGGACAGGTTGGTTTTCTGTTTCTGTATCTCGTCAAGACTTATACATCCTTCTGTTTTGGCTATGCTAAATGCTCATGTATTGGATGTTAAGACCAGATGTTGAGAGTACTTGATTATTCTCGAGTAAGCCGGCATCTCTTGGCAACAGCTGGTGATGATGGCTCTGTTCATTTGTGGGATACAACCGGTAGAAGTCTGAAGGTATGTACGAGATGAATTTTATGTTAAGAGGCATTTATGATCTTTGTGTAATTTTCTTTTTTTTTTTCTTTTTATTGAAAAACTTTCTAGATAGCACCTGAATCCTTTATGTAAAGATAGAAATCTGATTTGTGCTTCCCTTTCATGAATTTCTGTGAATATAGGCCAGTGGTGTTTGCTTTTTTTTTTTGGAGTCATGTACCTTCCATTTCGTTGAGTTGGTTACAGATTACAGTTACTGTTGGTACAAAGATTAAAGATAGGAAAGAGTCAGAGAGAGTTTAGCAAGTAGGTCATGTGTAAGAAAATGTAGGACAGATAGTATTGTAAATGGGGTTTATGACCTTTATGTAACAAACAATAGGAAAAGTTTTGGGAAGTGGATCTTGTGTATGAAAAATTAGGGAAGAGAGTAACCAATTTAAAAGAACGGAGGTTGTAATCTATGGCATTTGACTTTTTTCTATTACTTTATCTGATTTTTTATTAGTTGACACATTTTATTTAGGCACGCTTTCCAATGTATACTTTTAGATGTAAATAACTAAATATCTTTGTTTACGTATTTTAGCAAAAATTATAAAATTGGGTATTTGGAAAATAGATGTTGAAACGGAATCTATCAAGAGCGCACATGAGTACATGACTATGTTTTTTCTAACAATAAATCACAAATCAAAGTCAATGTATGTTATGTGAATAGTGCCCAAAGTCAAAATGTGTCAACTAAAAAAAGGAAGAAGTATTTAATGGTTGTTGGTATCTTGGGTTTGACAATCGGACCCATTGCTGTTAGTTGATAGATTTAAAATTGATTGTAGAATTTGATGTAATCATGTAGGCACTTAACAGTAGAAGGATTTAAATTACCAATCTAATATCCATACACTTGCCAACCTGTTGTAAAAAAAATTTGAAATCTGGTTTAAAATTTCAGGAATTTCAGGTTATCTAATTTCTTGTACAATAGCCTTGTTTTTTTTTTTTTTTTATTTTTTTTTTTTGAGAATTATACTAAAGAAATAGATATAGCCTTACACGTTTACTCCTTTGTATTCAATAGGTCTCTTGGTTAAAGCAGCATTCAGCACCTACTGCTGGTCTGAGCTTTTCTCCTTCAAATGACAAGGTCTGGTTTTAATTTTCTCAAATTTTGCTTTTGAATCTTGTAAAATTTCTAAAGACATTGAAAGTAATTTGCTAACACGGAAATTTATGCAGATGATTGCTACAGTTGGTCTTGATAAAAAGCTTTATACTTTCGACTCAGGCACGAAAAGGTCTTCGTTTTGCATTTCTTATGAAGCCCCCTTTTCTTCATTGGCATTCAGAGAGGATGGCTGGATATTGGCTGCTGGAACAAGCAACGGTCGTGTGGTTTTCTATGATGTTCGTGGAAAACCTCAGCCTTTTACTGTTCTTCGTGCTTATGGACATTCAGAGGTAACTTTTGTGGTTTACAGATCTATACGTTAAATCGTCGTATTCCCTGCTCTTAAAATAAGAAGGCAAATTGTTCATGGCTTCCTGCTATGCTATTATTTCAAATCAATGTCAGCCATGAGGATTCTGAATTTAAAGGGCTGAGATCTCTATGACTCTATGAGCGCAAGTACCAGATTAAGGCTTGTGTAAATTAACTTATCACCCTAACAGATATTGTCTCGTCGGTGTATATGAAGGCTCGTACGTCATTCTTGTAAAATTGCGGTTATGAATTTTAATACTATTCATGAGATAGAGTATTGAGGTAAGGTTTACCATTATAGCAGTCGGTACTAGAACTCCTGATAAATAAAAACTAAGAACTAGCTAATAAAGGGGCTGGATGCATTTTTTCATTACTCCCTGGTTCCAATGCCTTTGAATGGCTTGATCACTTAATGGAATTATGATTAGAACCAGGAACTATTCATCTAAGTTATAGTGCTCACAAACGGCTTGTGAACATAATTTTTGAATCACACTAACTTATATGATTGAGCGAGCCTTTGTTCTTGTTCAAGCTCAGCTTACTTATCTAATAAATGCATAAGTGTGTTGATCCTGGGATGGTCAAAGTCTCAGCTCATATACACCCTAATTTACACATGCATTGTGAAATGAGATGTTTGATGTTAATCTTTGGAGAGATGTGCACACGCTTTTTAGGGGACTCTTTCAAATTTTTAAGTCCGCAACCTAGCCAACCCCACTTATGATGGAGGAAGATTTTTGTGGATGACTATACAGAATAATCACTTTTGGTTCATGTAGCCGACCCCACTTATGGGATTAAGGCTTTGGTTGATTGGTTTAAGTCCACAATGTGATTGGGGATGTCTTGCATCTGTTGTAGTGAAAGTAGCTGGTACTGTTTCAATTTACCTTACCTGTTCGAAAATATTTGACTAAGCCATTAGTATCTTTAATAACTGATAAGAAAAATTATTAAAACTTGCCTAAAATAGAAATGTGTCAACTAATAATAAACTGTTTTTTGGAGAAACTAATAATAAACTTCCCAAAGAGGAATACGTGTCAACTAAATAAAAATAGAGGTAGTATTTCGTTACATATAAATCACGAAAGATGGTCAAGGAGAGTGTGTGAATAGTTCTACAGTAAAATCGTATTAATTAAAAGAAATGAAGTATATCTAACTTTGCCGCAGACATCGAGGATAAATTAATATATGAAATATATTAATGTGTAGGAATTTAACTCTTTTGATTAGTATATCTGAATTTTTTGGGAGGCTTTCTAGTGTATTTCGTTCAGGAAATCTTTATGAGCGGAGTTAAATATGAGTTTTGGAGTAAACTAAGGCCTTATTCTGTTCTCCTTGGATAAGGGCCCATAAGGCCATAACAATTCAACCATTTAAAATTAATTCAGATAAGCTCAAGTAAGCTGAGACAAGGATTAATAAGTTTAAATAAGGGCGAATCTGTTCAGAAAAGGTTAGTCTAGTAAAACGAAAGAAGCCTAAGTATTTGGGAAGGTTTTATTTCATTCTTTTTACTTTGTTATTTGTCAAAATCGTAAGTATTTCTGACTTTGACATTAATTTTTCAGGCTGTCACAAGTTTATGTTGGCAAAGATCAAAGCCCGTCGATGTGAATGAGAAAAACTGCACGGCTGATATAGCTCTTTTAGGAGGGGCTGTCGAGGACTCAATTTTAATGCCTGACCCGCTTCCTTCTGCAACATTAACCAGTGCTCCACAAGCAACAACTTTTTCTGGTCCTCGTCGTTCGAGCTCTGCTGTGGAATCATCCTTTGCTGCAACTTTTACGAACAATAATCAGAATTCAGAGGAAACTCCTCATAGAAGCTCATTGAGGACTGGTGGAGTATTGCCAAGATTACAAGCAACTAGGAACTATAACTTTAAGGATGATATGGATGTTTTCTCCCCACTCTTAGATGTTCCAATCACACCCTCACTTGATAAACTATGGAATGACAATGATTTATCCCGAAAAGACCAACCTGGCGATAAAAAAGTCTCTCCACTATTTCCCAATCGAAAATTCACACTTCCGGAAACTGTTAATGATATACACCCAATTTTTGACTGGAAACCCGGTCCAGCTGCTAAACAGGTATGGATTTTTCTCTTTAATCTTCTCAGGTTGTAGCAACTTGCATGTGATTGCATTAATAATATCTCATGAATGTTCAAGAACTGCTGCAACTGCATCTTTGCAAGTAACTGTTATCTTCATTGCCTGTTAGTTTGAAGATATTGTGCTTATCTGGCTTTTGAAGTATGCATGATCTTTGTTTGTTCTCTCTTGGTCATTGTGATTAGATTGAATATAAAACTAACAATTACATTTCTAGTAGTAAAAACCTGAAATGGGGAAAAATTGTATGTAATACATATTCTATTTTAATTTTAATTTTTCTAATAAAGCTTATCTATAACAAATCTGCTTGTTTATAGCAAATCAATAATTATTAATTTCCTCCAGTCAAAAAAAAAAAAAAAAAAAATTATTAATTTCCTACAAAGGCCACAATTATTGGCCATACATTTTCTGTCTGTTTACATACAGATTGTATGGTAGGTTAAAGATTAAAAGAATTTGCACTGACTCTAAATTCACAACGGCATGTAAGTAATGATAGTATATCTTGTATGAATTTATTTTTGTTACATCTAGTACAAAATTTTCTAAAAATATTTCAGTTAACTTGCAGACAAATTTTGTCAATTGTGTCCTCTGCTCATTAAATAGCACCTCTCTTAGTGATATAGCTGAATTTGGTGTTGAACTTACCAGCTAAAAGTCCAATTTTTTGTTTTAATTTGCGGCAATTTTATTTTTCTAGGATGACTTCCATTCATCGATTCCCGGTTCCACTCCTACTGCATCGTCCAGAAGTGAGGATTCATCTATTACTCCTCCAGAAGCATGGGGTGGTGAGAGACTATCAGATAAGATTGCCCTTCATCGTCAATCTCTAGCATCACGTCTCAGTATGTCAACATCTACCAGTACATCGACTTCAACGTTCACTGGATTGCAAGATCCATCTGCAAGCCAGTCTGCCTTGAGTTACTCCACGAGCACAAGTCTTATGTCAAACTTTCGAGCAAAAGATACATCATCTGGACAAGAAAATTCACCTGGAACATTTGGACATGTCCCCTTTAGTGCTCTCTTGAATGTTGGTTCAAAACCTGCCACAGGTCAGGCAAATCCTGAAGCTATTGGATCTTTGAATCCTTCCCGAAGATTTTCCACCTATGCTGAAAGGATTGGCAGTTCTGCAGCATTTACTGATGGAGTTTCTGCTTCATTGGGTTCGCCTAAAACCAAGAAAACAGGAGTTGAAACCCGGGAAGAACTTCAGAATAGTTTGTTGGCCAGATCTGATACAACATATGCCGCTGAACCTGGATTGCTTCCATCTGTTAATGTATGTATTAACATAGATGTGTTAATTAACCACATGCTGTATGATTTGATTTTGAAATGTATTTTCTGAATTTTTTGCTACATTTTTAATGATGAAATACCATGAATAAGACTAAATAAGTTCCTTTTCCTGCTTCAGGGAGCACCAAATTTACATCAGAGAACACCTCAAGCTGACCTGCAGCACGGATCCTCCAACTTCACCCTTCAACTGTTTCAACATACGCTACAAGAAACTCTATCATCCTTCCAAAAATCAATACATGAAGATGTGAGGAATCTTCATATTGAAATTCTAAGGCAATTTCATATGCAAGAGGTATGTGTCATACTAGCACTTATAATACACTTGCTCTGTTTTCTAGGTTCTGCAAACTTGTTACTGCTTTACCTTCCTTGCTCTGTACCTTTCTTTCTACGCTTTGGTACACTGGTACTTTGGTGCAATTGCTCACATGTTGGCGGTTTCATATCATTGTACAGACAGAAGTTTCAGGTTTTATGAACAGAGTCGTGGACAAACTAGATTCTCTTACGGAAGAAATTCAGGCATTGAAGAAAGAAAATGAACAGCTTCGCCAATTGCTTTGAAAACTCAAAGATCTTCGGATTTTCTTTGTATTCTTTTATTTGGAGGAGGGTGTTTGGTTGTTGGTTCCATTTTTATTCTTTCTTTTTTGGGGTTTTCCTGTATGCATCACCGAGTGGGTGATGCTTTTTTTTTTTTTTTTTTCCTTTTTAATTCCAATTTCCTGAGCCAAGACAATTTTTTTTTTTTTTTTTTTGGCTTAGCATTGCAGGAAATTATGTGATTATAGCTAGAGAAAATGAGTGTTAGGATTACAAGGCTTTTTGTCTCCGTGATTTGAATTGTGTGAAAAAAGAAAAAAAAAAAATGCTAATCCTTTTGATTATCAAATTATGCAGTTTGGCCCTTGATTCAAGATTTCAAATTCAACCCAATTCTGTAATGAGAATTAACTATTACTGAATGCTCTCGTATTCCAGAACCAAACATTGAAGAGTATCTTAGGTTGGTGTGTACCAAAATGATTGATTAGTGATCTCAAAACGATTATGCATGGGAACTTGAGGGGAGATGGGGGGAGTGATGATGGGATCGAGTTGCTATGGAGTCAATGAGCATATTTCGTTTGGAAAAAGCTTCATGTAGATGTTCGTATTGGCAGTATGTTCTTATTTAGAGTTTTTTTTACAGAAGGAATGTAACTTCTGTAAGGCCTTATTAAAGCTTCCAAAGTGTCTACTGCTCTTTAACAACTGAGGCGATATTTGGTAAATACAATAAGGCATGAGTAATCCTATGAAAAATCAATTGAAGGGTCAAACTCGCTCTATGACTAGACATAATATGTACGAAGAACTTCTTGCTTTCCAATATCAACATATGCTTGAGCTATGGGTGCCATATTTGACTGCTCGATTCCCTTTTGATGTAATCATATAGTTTTATGCCTTTAATGTGTGTTCCGAATGTCTTATCTTCTCCTTTCTGCTATTATGTATCGTTGATTTATGTTAAATTCAAGTGATACTGTCAAAATTATCAGGCTTAAAGCATACTTGTATATTTCTATAAAAAAGACACTGGTTTGGTCATTTGATTGCATTGTATAATCAATTGATGTTTTAGAAGTTTCTATTACTACCTCCGTCAAACAGCAGCGTAGAAGTTTCTAATACTACGTAATTAATATCTTTGAAAAAGCTATTTTTGGCTTATGATAGATTTTCTGGCATAAAAAGCCTTAAAACACTGGTGCATCTGTTTATCTGTCTCAATTACTAACCAGCTTAGCTTACAGATCAGAATAGCATTTCTTCCCTGGCTCGTCGTGATAAAATCTATAAACTAATTATAGATGAAATGCTGTTAGTTGTGCCTGTGTCTTGTTTTATTAAAATTATTATTTGTTGCTTAACTTGGTATTTAGGACCTGTATACACGTATAATGTATGTACGGTGCTAATCTCCTCTTCAGGCTCTACCGCTCTTGTAGTTGGAACTTGGAAGTCTTCACTAGAACATCGTGGCTCCTACATTGGTAAGAGCTTCTGGAAATTTGACAGAAGCTTTCAGAATTGAATTACAATTAATGATGTGATGCTTAACATGTAATAACACATCCTACCTTTCCGAAATATGTACCTATATTCCATACCAAAATAAGTTGCGTATATAGTTTGCATTACATGTGCAGGAATTTTTTAACTTATGGCTTCATTGTTGTCTCTTAATACGGTTACAACTCTTACAAGTGGCTTTACTGCAAAAATTCAAACTCAGAAATGCTGGATAATTTCATGACTACTACGCTTTATTTTCTGTACAATTACTAGTGTTTATTAATTACTAATTTACAATCCAGAATTATACAACTCGCGCATTCAGGATCTTTGCTTCAAAAAGTACAGAACTGTGTGACTTCATTTCGTATGCTATCAATCCAGGCGTCTTCTCAGGGACAGGAATGCCATCTGACGAGAAAAATCCAGGAAATGCAAGAGCTGTGTCAAGTAATCGTACCCAAGTCATTCCCTCAGGGGGTGGTGGTAAAATTATATTTTCTGAATGTTCCCCGGCGTTGAAGGCAGCATACAAGTCACCCTTCACGAGGGAGGACTCCGAGCCTCTGTTGTCAGCCTTCAATTCCATAGCCAGAAATTTAGCTAGTGGATCATCCCATCTTGGTGGAGACAAGTCACAGTGATACCAACCAATATTTTCTTCTTCCAAAAATTCCCTCTTCTGCAGAAGATCACCACGCCTCTCTCTCAGAGAAATCAAAAATGAAATAAGCTGTGTGATCTGGACACCAAAAGCAGTGTTAAGAGCACTCCAATTGAAAGGTTTTCTTTTGCTGTATGAAGGGGAACCGCCAGTAGATTGGCCACACTCATCTCCCATATTTAATACAGGAACACCAAGTGAAACAAATAATATAAAGAGAAAGTTACGAATTTGTTTGAGGCGCGTTTCAAGGACAACTTTCTGATCTGTAGGGCCTTCTTCCCCACAGTTCCAACTAAATTCAGAAGCAAGGTCACTGCTGCTGAAGCTAACCAAATCAACTAGAGGAAGACCAAAGTTCCTGGCAACATAATTGAAAGAATACGATGGACCTCTTCCAGCAGAAAAAATGTCCCCGCTTCCACAAAGTCGTGTTGCTAGACTGCTTATAAGTCCTTCACCCCTCAGAAAATTTCTCACATCAATACAAAATTTAGAATTTATTTCAGCCCATCGTTTCCAATGAGGAAAGCAGGTTTCTTTGGATTTCACATCATAAGGATCCCAAAAATCTGCAATTATCTTCGTTTTTGAAAGTACAGGATCAAAAGCAATAGTTTCGACCAAAGGAGGGCGAGACAAGCTCTCTCCATAAGAGCCTCTCAAGAGATCTGAAGCATTTATGAAGCAAAATCCATCTATATGAAACTCTGTCACCCAATACCGGAGACTATCAACAATGATCTGCTGCATGTTTGGATAGTTACAGTTCAAAGCGTATCTGATACTCAATTCTCCGTCTTTATCAGCATAAAAATAGGATAAAGGGTCGATTTTCTGGAGTATTCCTTCTTCAGTGGTATGAGTGAAAACAACTTCCAAGTAAACCTCTATTCCATTGGCATGCATTGTCTTTACCATCTCTTTCATTGAATTAATAGCAGATACAGAATCACCGGCAGGTCCATACACCTGCATGGGTGAAAAATAATGAAATGGATAATAGGGGTCCTTTCTGTCATCGCATGGAAAAACTGGCTCCAATAATATGCTATTGATACCAAGATTTCTGAAATGCTGAAGTTTTTCAGTAGCACCAGAGAAGTTTCCAGAAAACTCATCAGGCAGTTTACTGGACTTGTCCCCAGTAAATTGCATAACATTTAATCGATAGAGAACTAATTTCTCCAAGATTAATCCAGGACGGGCATCACTACCCCAATCAAAAGCTGGTATAGCATGTAATTGACCAAGATCAGGTAGACCAGGAAGCTTCTTCCTTAACAGTTTAGCATATGGATCTAAAATAACCCTGCTACTACTTTCACTAAATACAGCTCCTTTGCATTGGTATCCATAACTCACAAAGGGTCCAACACTATCAAAGGACGCATGCCAGATATCACCAGTTCTATTCACATATGGATCCAGTTCAATCTCTAAAGCAGGTTTCTCTGACCCATTATCATCAAACAAACAAAGAACAACACTTTCTGCATTTCTAGAGAAAAGAGCGAAGTTCATCCTACCATCATTGGAGAAAGAAACACCCAGTGGAGCTGGATACCCAGCTGCAAAGCCAATAGGAACACAGAAATCGGTTTGTCTATGACTTTTTATCTGGAAACTTTCTGAATCAGCGCCATCTATATAACTCAACATGAATGAGAGATAAAATGGAACTAAATATGATTCAAATTCTATTTCAACTACGTAAGTGCCAACAGAGTTTCTCCTCAGAGATATCTGGGAAATGGCCTTCTCAGGTGCTGAGGTTTGGAATTCAAGAGGAATGAAAGATGAAGAGTTGGATCTATATGTACCCCAATTTAGTACCAGCTTCTCCGGGTTACCATTCAGTTGAGAAGGACAAACCTCAATATGCGCCGAATACTTTAAACTTCTCTTCCCGACAGCTACCTTCACTTGACCACCATTCTCAGTCCTAAAATGGTATTTTGACAATCCATGCTCAGCCTTTTCAAGGGGGATTCCAGCTAAAGCTCTAGCTTGGAGACCTAGCTTTTTAGCAGGCCGCATTTTGGAAAAACCATAGCTTTCATGAAACACATGTTGCCACCCAAATTTTCCTTCACGTATTAAATCCCTTCCTTCATACGAAATACACGTACAAGCAAATTTTCTTGATAAATGTGCACTAGTATTATTGATTGTTTGAAACAATCCCACAGGTCCGGATGTTAAAATTACTGCCATTGACTGCTACCAGATTGGACATAAATTCCAGAGTTTCTCAACAAGATGCTACAATTAATTTACACCTGTTCGGTAGAGGAGTAAGTCTAAAAACTCAGTTATGCTGAGGGTGTAAAAGTACTAATTCATAGCCAACAAGAAAGCACATGCAGCAAATGGGTTTCGAAGAAGCACAAAAGCTTGTTCAACACAATCTTCCTATCAATTTCAAGTCCAATATAAACACGACGATTGTTCAGAAAGTATCAAAAGTATCTCCACACTGCTTGTCAGCTAAACCTCATCAAACATGTAATAGTTGAATCAAAGCAGCATCATAACAAATAAATATCTCCTCAATATAATCGAACATTAAACACAAATTCTCGATATCACTTCACAAAATCTTATGAGCATCATGATACACCATTATCTGATGCTACGAAAACTTTAATATGTCATTATTGATCTTTGCATAAACGGGGTTAGTCATAACATTAATTGGGTTAAAACAAGGAAGATTAACTCTAATGCAACAATTGAAGGGGAGTTAACAGATAATGGAGACACATTGTACAATCAATTACAGTAATCAAATAGTGCAGCCCTACTCAAAGGTAAACATGATTGCCAACCAGATTTTGCTAAATTAAATTTCATAATCATGTAAACTAGTAATTTTTAATCCAACAATTGAAACCCAGATAACTAACTAATACAATCAATCATTTCAATCAACTACAATTTTTTTCCCTATGAAAAATACAAGCCCTATTCATTTCAATGTAATTCAGTGCATATCCAACAAAATGCTAATACCTAGTATATCTTATTTGAGCTTGCAAAAGTGAAATGTAAAAATCAAAATACAATTTAAATTCAAATTATTACCTAGGGAATGAATGATTTTGGAATCCAAATTCTGGGATGTTTTGATTTGATCCTGAATTAGGGAATAGAAGGAAGGACGATCTTTTGTCTGTTTGGGTATTGTGGGAGGAGAGAGAAAATGAGAACTGATTGACAATGCGATATGTTAGGAGA